GATGAGGAAAGTGGGGTTTGTGGGAGTTGTTTAAAAAAGTATGAGTAGTTTAGGGGTTTTAAGGGTGGTGAAATTCCCGCGATGATTATTAGTTAAGTTATTTGGTAAAAAGCGGAGTGAAAGAGAGAAAACTTCTGAGAAGTTTCGGTGAAGCAAAAAGCAAGTAAAGCATGTGAAAAATTTCTCTCCGCGACATTACATTTAGGTAAATATCCGAAAAAAGGGAAAAGGAAAGTTAGAAAGTAGTTAGTTTTTAAATTGTCCTTGCCTTTCAGAAATTAGACATTGACTATCAACCCAATAACTCAAACAATCAAAACAATTATCACTAATTCTACGCTCGCCCTAATTAATATCTCTTTTACCCGCTCTTTTCTTCACTTGCTTTTTTCTTTCTTAGAAAGTTTATCTCACCAACTATCATCATAGCCCATTCATTTTCTTATTTCTTTTCAATATGCTTGGCATAAGGCATAAACTACACAAGAAAAAATATATCAAATCCATATGAGAAGTTTTTTTTCTTTTATTTCTTGACTTCACTTCCCATCCAAGCAAATATCAACAATCTTATTAATGAATATAATTGAAGCAAGGCAACTTAGAAAGTAAATAATAAAAACTATTACTTTCTTCCGTTGTTGCCTTGTCATCTAAAGCCTCAACTTTTATTTATCTTTCCCTAACAAACTTTACGGCAGTTTTCGCATTATTATAATCGCTTCTTCCTCCGCTTGGGTCGCTAACAGAATCCGTCGCTAATAGAAATAACTCACTGCCAATTTCTTGTGTTGTTTCATTATCAGAATTCATCATTGCTACGCCAGCAACTCCTGCTCCGACCGTTGCGGTAATTGTTATCGGTGCAATAGGTGTAAAATAACTAGCTGCTAACAGCGTTGAACCAACTTTTCTGCCGACTGTTTTTCAAGCCTCTTTGGATGGCTCATTACCTGGTCCATAACTCTTATTTTTGTTGCTTATATCACCATAACTAGCAACTTCATTATTATAACTATCTTTTACTTTATCATCACTCTCATAAGTTTTTAGAAATTCTTTATAAGAAAGAAATTCATTTTTGTTTTTTAACTCTTGAACTGTTTCAAAAGGTTTTTTTACCTCGCTGGGTGTTAAATTATTGTTTTTTGTCATTTTTTTTAATATTTTATTGATTTATTTTTACTTTTAAAAAATATTTTGTTTTGCTATTTATTAAGCCTCAAAATAGCCTTAGCACTAGTTTTTAAGACAGTTCTAGTATCTGTTTTTAAAGTTTAATTTTGACAAGACTATTACCTTGCTTCATTGATTTTCTGACTATTTGCGACCTATTGTCGCTGGACGGGATGCTCGCAGATATAGAGCAATTCTTTTACATTTATCATAATTCCTCATATAGTTTGGTTATTTAATTAAATTATTATATAGTTTTATTTTTTTACCTATTAATATTTTTAAACATAAATATCAGATAAGTAAGTAATTATTAGTAATTTTAACCACTGAAAAATAACTATATGCCAACCCTAAATTTAAAGAATATCACCATTAAAAAATTAGAAGATAAAATTTAACACTTACTTCCTAATTGTCAATAATGACAACCAAGTTGACAGCAAAGAATTGGTAAGAAAAAAGGGAAAAGCAAGGTTAGAAAAAATTTATCAGGGAAAAGAAGTAATAATGTATAAACCAAACAGAAAAATTACTACTAAAAACAAAAATTATGAGACAGTACACTAAATAATATCATCACGGCTTTTTTCTTAAAAATATTGGGAGTAGAAAAAGAAATAAAAGAAAATATGTAAAATAGATTAAAAATCAGTTTGCGTGAATAATTTTAATGCAAAATGGCAACCACAAACTCAAAAACAAGTTCTAACATAGACAAAAAACAAAATCCTAGATTTAAAGATAAAGATGCCGAAGCCCTATGAAAGGGCGAATGAGTATCAAAATACCAGAATATCAAAAAAGTGGCTTATAAAAAGCTCCACTCTTTAATTAATACCACCAATCTCAATGATTTATACTTAATTCCTGGCAATCATACTGAAAAAATAAAAGGTAAAAAAGTTATTACAGCATTCGCATTAACAACCAGTATCGCATTATTTTTAAATGAGACAAAAAAGGTGTTAATTAATGCTGAGGAAATTGAAATTAATCCCCACAATAAAAGATATGGTAAATAAAAAATCTAGTAAAATTTAACATAATAGAAATACAAATATACTAATCAATTTATTATTATGGTAAAAGACCTAGAATTAAAACCCCTTCATCCAGGAGAAATATTAAAAACGGAATTCTTGGAACCTTTGAAGATGAGCGAAGTAGAATTAGCCAAAAATATTCAAGTAAAAAAATCAGTGATTAAGGATTTAGTGGCTGAAAAAAGGATAATGACCGTAGATTTAGCCTATCGACTTTATTTTTACTTTGGAGTTAGTGCGGAATACTGGTTAAATTTCCAAAAAAATTATGACTTGGCGACTTACCAAGAATTAGCCGAAAAGCAAATTAGAAAGCAAATTCAACCTTATCCACGGGCAGAAAATCATTTATAAATACCAACCCCTAAGGGCCGGCGACTTCTTGGAATTGTTGACTATTCACTGAATAATTAATTTGACAATTAGCACACTGATAAATACCTAAGCAACCAATACTATTACTTAGTTTACACTCTAAAAGAGTCTTGCCGTGACGACGAATTTCAATTCGAGCAAATATTCGCTCTTGGTGCTTAATTTGGCTTTGGAGGTCGGTCAGTTCTCGGCGGAGATTGCTTACTCGACTAGCTTTTTTTTGTCAAATCAGTTAATAAAAAACTTTTAAAAACCAACAATAAAAACTTATAGTTGTAAAATTAAAACATAACAGGAAACCCGAAAATAACAACCAAAATAATATTATGCCAAAAGCCCAAGGATATTTTGAAAATACTTTCTCTATCAATCGAGAAATAATTGAATATAATGGTTTAAATAAACCAGACCAAGAAAAATTAGAAGGAAATTTAGACCTCAAAGAATTTAAAAAGTTAAAAAAATTGGATATTCAGGGTAATAAAATTACTTCTATTAATCTTTCTAACTGTCCTAATTTGGACTATTTAGATTTAGGTGGTAATCCTTTAACCAATATTAATTTAACTAAGAATAATAAATTGAAAAAAATTAATTTTGAGAACTGCCCTATTAATCAAAATTTAAGCATTTTTTCTCATTTAAAAAATTTGGAACACTTAACCATTAATAAAACTTCTTTCTTCGGCACCTTAAAAACCTTGTCAGATAGTAAATTAATTGATTTAAGAGTAAAAGAGTGTTCTAAAATTGAAGGAGGTTGGGAGTTTTTGCCGACTACTTTAAAAAAGATAGAAAAAGACCGAGATAATTTGTTTGGAAATTTACGTGATTACCAAAATAATTTTCCGGCTTGGCGAAAAGACCATGACTTTTTACTTAGCCGAATTAGTAAATTAGAGCAGCAATTAATCGAACAGGAAAAAATAACTAATAAAGTATTAAAAGAAAAGGAACAACAAGAAAAACAATTAGCAAGCGAAAAGGAAACTTTTCTCACTACTGCTGGTAAACTTAACAACTATATTTCCCAACTCGAAGAAAAATTAGCCCAAACTTCAATCAATAAGCAGGAAGCAAAAATAGAAATTCCTCCTAAAAAATAAAACTTCTTTTTTTAAGATACCTTTCACTAATTCTTTTACTTGCTTACTTAATCGCTTATATTTAACTTCACTAATACTTAATCCTTGGTTTTGAACTTCCCGATAAGAAATTTTATCAGGTAAAGAAATTTAATTAGGAAAAAAGTTGAAACAAAATAAAGATAAGAACAAAACAAACTAACAAAAGAACGATATTTATTAAAATAAATTTTTTTCTTAGTTTCTTATTCCATAAAAAATAAATCAGCAAAAATAATAAAAAAAATAAAAAATGCCAATAAATCCCTCTTGTCTTTAAATTGGGTTTGTTTTTTTTAGTTTATATCCAAGCGAACTTCCTAACTATATTATGCTAATAATTTTTTATATACACATGCCTGCTAAAATTGGTCTAGTTGGTTTGCCTAATGTTGGTAAATCTAGTTTATTTAATTTTTTAACAAAGAAAGACGTTTTAATTGCTAATTATCCTTTTGCGACTATTGACCCGAACGTTGGGATAATGAACTTGGTCGACCCGCGTTTGGAAAAGTTAAGCAAACATTGAAAAAGCCAAAAAGTTACTCCTAGTACTATTGAAATTGTTGACATTGCTGGACTAGTGAAAGGAGCCGCACAGGGTTCCGGGCTCGGTAATGAATTTTTGTCCCATATTCGGGAGGTAAATTTAATTTGTCAAGTTCTTCGTTGTTTTCCGGACCAAGAAATAGTTCATGTCGAAAAATCAGTTGACCCAATTCGAGATTTGGAAATAATTCAGTTAGAACTAATTTGGGCTGATTTACAGCAAATAAGGAAGAAATTAGAAAGGTTAAAAGTGCGAGACGAAAAATCCCAAAAAGAGCACAAAATTTTACAACTAATTCAGGAAAAGTTAGAAAAAGAACTGCCTATTAACCAACTAAATTTAACTAAGGAAGATAAAGAAATGATAAAGCCTTATAATTTCTTGACTAACAAACCTATTTTTTTACTGGCTAATTACAGCGGAAATGAAGAAGAAATAAAAGAGTTAGAGAAATATGCCAAAGAAAAGCAATTATCTTTACTTCCGTTAGCAATTAAATTAGAAAAAGAAGTAGAAAATTTGTCGTCTGAGGAAAAAAAGGAAATTGATTGAGTAACCACTGATTTCTCACTTTTATCTAATAAAATTAAAGAATTATTAAACTTAAAAATTTTTTTTACCACCGGGGAAGATGAAACTAAAAGTTGATTAGCTCCAAAAGAAATGAACGCCCGAGAATGTGCTGGACTAATTCATTCCGATATTAGTAAAGGCTTCATTCGGGTCCAAATATATAACTATAATGATTGGTTAATTTGCCCTTATGAGGGAGAATTGAAGAAAAAAGGAAAGGTTAGGACAGAAAGTGCCCAGTATGTTATTCAGGAAGGAGACATTTGTCATTTTTTATTTAATTAACAGAACTGGCCGAAAAATTAATTTATTCCTATCGAGGATTTATAATTTTAAACCACAAAAAAACAATAGTAAACTTAACTAAAAAAATATTCCGGATTATCATTAAGCACTCTAATTATATCTTCTTTTCTTTTTAATAATTTCTTTATTTTTTCATCAATGCTTCCTTTACAAATTAAATCAATTACTAAACGAACTTGTTGGTTTTCTTGACTATTAGTGGGTAAAAAGCGGGCTTCGGCTTGTTCGTTATCAGCCGGCGAATAACTACGGTCCGCGAAAATAATTGTATCGGCTTGACTCAAATTTAATCCCATTCCCGCTGCCTGAATATTACACAGTAAAATATTAAGTTCTTGCTTTTGAAATTGTTGAATAAATTTTTGTTTCTCTTGGTAAGCGGTTTGACCAGTAATAATCCCCAACTCTATTTTTTTTTCCTTTAACAGGTGGGCTAAGGGAATTAAAAAAGTTTCACTACGAGTAGAAAAAACAATAATCGAGCACTTTTTATTTTCTTTTAAGTAGTTAATAAGGTAATTAACCTTACTCCCTTGGCATTTAAAACCAAAAGCTGGTGGGTAAAGAGTTAAAGTTTTTAACTTGGCTAATATTTCTAAGGGTTGATATTCCGGTCATTTTTGGCTTCATTGTAAATAAATATTTTGTTGTTGCTCTTCCATCAATAAATACTCTTTTTGGTAAATAATTCGGGGCAACCAAGGCAACACTTCGGCTTGTTTGCGATTAACCGAAAGTTGACTGAGCTTTTTTTGTAATTCTTGCTGCAATTCCAGATTTTTAAAGTCTTTTACTTGCCGAATAGGAAATCTTTTTTTGCCCTGGTGAAACTCTCATTGGTGAATAGAAAAATATTCTTCAGCAAATTTTCAGTAAGAAGAATAGATTTCCGGTTGCAAAAATTTGAGTATTCCATAAATATCCATATAATGATTAACAACTGGAGTTCCAGTTAGAACCATTTTATAGCAAGCGTCCCGCAAAACTCAAATACTTTTACTTTGTTGCGATTGATAATTACGTAAAAAATGGGCTTCGTCAATGATTACGCCATAAGAATTATTACTGGCTTTTCTCTTTTTTAATTTTTGGAAATAAGAACTATCAGTTTTAAAAGTATCTTTGGAAATAATAATAATTCAATTTTTTTCTTGGAGCAATTTTTGATAAAAACTATACCTTTCTTGCTTGGCCAAATAAGTAATAACGTAAGAGGGTTCGCTCAGCCAATCCTCAATTGATTTTTGCCAATGATGTTGTAAAATACTGGGAGTAATAATTAGTAAGTTTTTTAACCCTCAATTTTGGAAAGTAAATAAAGCGATGGGAGTTTTCCCCGTACGCATCTCACTAAAAATTGCCGCACTTTTTAGTTGGCTAAGAAATTCAATATCTTTTTTTTGATAATCTCTTAATTGTAAATTAGAAGTAGTGAGCGAAAAAGTATTATTATTTTCTCCTGCCGTAGGAAAATCATAATTGGGAAATAACTTTTTTAATTTTTGCTGATTGTAAAAGTTATTAGGAAGTGAGTAATAATGAATTTTATTTTCTTGGTTCGCATTCAGACAAAAAGCCCACGGATAGGTGGTTTTGAAGAAAATTTTTTCTGAATTAATTTCAACTATTTCTAATTTTATCTTTTCTTTACTAACTATTAAATTTTTCATTAGCCAAATAGCATTTTCTTTGCTTTTTAATATATCTAATTTTACTTCAAAATAAATATTCACGGACAAAGAGGGGAAAGCCAAGGAACGAGAGAAACGACAAAAGTGCAAGGACAAAAAAAAAAAAAAAAAAAAAACGAGAAAGAGAGTAAATTCAATATCTTACTATTATAATTAGCACTATAAAATTAGTATATGACAACAAGCATAGAAATCACAAAAAAAAAAAAAAAAAAAAACAGTATTAATCACCCTAAAAGTCAGTTGCTCCCTTTTAGAAAATAGTATCAAATAATTATGTTAGGATTAGATACTTATATTCTGAAACAACTGGAAAAGTGAATGAGTAAAGCCAAAACAGAAAAGGAAATAATATCCCGAGCAAGGATTTTTATGGGAAGTGTTTTAGTTATTCATTTGACCTTAGCATGTTTGGCAGGGTGAAGGCTTTATAAAATTATCAAAACCAAAGAGAAAACCACTGGCGATTTAATTTGACCTATTGCGTTGGCTTTTATAACTTTTATTTTTCCTTATGGAACCGAGAAAGGTGAGGAGTTAACTAATATACCGAGTTCAGGTCTTTTAGCCTTTGCTACTATTGGTCTATCCATTGCCGTTTTTATAATGTGGTTTATCAAAAAAAATCCTGACGAAAAAAAAGAAAATTTAGAAAAATATGAATAACAGCGACACACACACAGCAAAAATGTAAGTTATAATGGTAAAAGAGTTTGTTCTAATTGTATTAGTATCCATCGACCTAAATTAAGCACCGGCTGACTAATCTTTTGGTTCTTATTCGGAGCTGGTATCGGAGCCGTGGTTTATTGATTATGAAAGAAAAGTCAGCAAGAGGAATGAGACAGAGAAAACCTCTAATTCTTTTTTTATTACAAAAAGATAAAAAGAATTGACGCTTAATTTGAATACCGTAGCAACATGTCATTAAACGATAAATTTTATTTATGTTATATTAACACCGCAAGTTTGCTTGAATGAATAAAAGAAAACAAACTTTTAGTAGAAAATTTCTCCCGAGAAAGAAAAATTTGAGCAAGGGAAGTGGATGAGAAGCCTAATTTTTTTTCTGATACGGAGTTATTACTTATCTATCAAGATATTTTGCTTTTGAAAGTCCCGAGGAGTGATAACAGTTTGTTTTTAGTCAAAACTTACCAATTAGAGTATCAAATTTTTTGCCAAAAAGTTTTCCGAGAAAGAAAAAATATCGTAATTGTTACGGAAAAGCAATGGGAAAGTTGAGAAAATTTTGGCGAAGTTATGGTTTTATTAAAAGATGAAGAAACCGTTCAGAAAAATTTAGCAGATTGCTTACGGAATTTAACTAAATAAAACACGCAAATTTAATCATGAAGAGCAAAGAATATATCGACACAAAAGAATTTGCTGAAATAGAGAAAATTTCCCTAGTTATTGATGCACGAAGCAAATCGGAATACCAAACTCTCAAATCTTTTCCTAATAGCATTAACATACCCTATGAAGATTTAATTTCTGAACCCGAAAAATATCTTGCTGATAAAAACAAACTAATCATTATTTACTGTAATTTTGGTAATCGTTCTAGTAAAGCAACTAGTTTTCTGAGAGAAAAAGGCTATTCCCAAACTTTTGTTTTGAAAGGCGGCATATATGGCTATTGAGAGTGAAAAAGCAAAAACCTTTCCTAACATTGCGAAAAAATTTCTTCTTCTTTAAAAAAAAAGTTTATTTCTTTTTTGGCGGCTTGGGGACTGTCTGAGCCGTGGACAGCATTGGCCTCAATACTTTTGCCGTAAGTCTTTCTAATTGTCCCTACTCTCGCCTCTTGCGGATTAGTGGCTCCCATAATTTCCCGATTAAGTTTGATGGCATTTTCCCCTTCTAAGCACATAATTACTACGGGCGAGCTACACATAAAACTCACCATATCTTTAAAAAAAGGCTTACTCTCGTGCTCTTCATAAAATTGTTCAGCTTGGGTGCGGCTTAACTGGAGAATTTTCATTGCCACTACTTTTAACCCCTTTTTTTCAAACATGTTAATAATTTCTCTAATTAGACTTAATTTGTTAATGTCAGGTTTAATGATAGAAAGTGTTTTTTCAATAGTCATATATAATGTTTTTTTAATAAACTTAGAAAAATTTTTGTTACAGCACGGACTTTTTCTAATTAAATCGTCCAGTTATTTTTATCCCAATATTTTTTCTAAATTAAGTGAAAAATAAAAGTTATAATGGCAAGTAATTTTTTTCTCCCTCATCTCAATACTCAAACTAATTCTAATTTGAGTTTTTCTTTTTTAACTATCGAGGATTTGGTTAATTGAGCCAGTGAAAACAAATTAAATTATTTGGCTATTGCTGACTATTATCCTTACGAAATTATTACTTTTTTTAATTTATGTAAAGCCAAGAAAATCAAGCCTATTTATGGAGTAAAGATTTTTTTCCAAGAAACTGATGGTGCCAACGCCAAACCAAGTTCAATAAAAACCGAAGCAAAAAAATATTCAGCTACTATTTATCCCCAAAACAATAAAGGCTATAAGGAAGTTCTCCAAAAGTTATTTTTTTCCGGTGCTCCTAATGACCGAGTATTCTCACTTAATTATGTTCTTTCCAATTTAAGCAAAAATTGTCTCATTGTCTTTGAAGCACAAAAGCCAGAAGAAATAAAGCAATTTGCTGAGCAGTGGATTTTAGCCACTCCTATCCAAAAAGAAGTTAATCTTAGTAACCTATTTATTGGTTTTAATTTTTTTCTTTTTTCTCCAACTCAAACTATCCCTCCTAATATTATCCCTTTATTGCTTCCTTTTTTTCCAGTAAAAACTTTGAGCAATGAAGAAACTAAATTGCTCGGATTATGAAAAAAAACGACTTTTTCTCGTTACTTTTTTCCGGCTGACCAGCAGGGAAGCTTCTTTTCCTATCAAAACACTAACGATTTTTTTGTTTCCTGCACTGATGATAAAACCTTTTATCAATTACTTCTTATTCAGTGGCAAGGCTTTCTTGCCAAAATTAGTCTTAACCCTTCCCCGTGCAGTGAAAAAATAAATAAGGCCAAAAAAGAAAATTCACTCTTAACTTTAAAAAGTAAATGTTGGCAAAAGTTATTAACTTTGTCAAAGGGAAAAGACGAGAATTATCGACAAACTTTAGAGAAAGAACTGACAATTATTGAGGATTTTAATTATATTGACTATTTTTTGATATTTAGCGATGCCGTAAATTACTTACGGTCCAAAGAGGTTATTATCGGACCAGGTCGGGGTAGTGCAGTTTCTTCCCTGGCGGCTTATTTATTAAATATAACTAGCGTTGACCCCTTACAACATAATTTATTTTTTGAGCGATTTTTAAATGAAAAAAGAAAAACCATGCCGGATATTGATTTAGATATCGAAAATCAGGAAGAAATATTTAATTATTTACCAAAAAAATATCCCAAAAATCAAGTGGCTCGGATTATTACTAAAAAAAAAATTGGCTGGAAATTAGCTTTACAAGAGGTAGCCAAAGTCTGTAAAATTGAAGAAATAAACCTCAAAAAAATAGTTTCTTTATTGGGGAAAAGCCCAGATTTTAATAGCCTAAAATTACAGTCGTGAAAATCTCGTTATTCGCTTTTTTTCATCCTGGTTGAGAAAGTTCAAGACTTGCATTACGATACTAGCCTCCATCCCGCCGGAGTTATCATAGCAGAAAATTCCTTACTGGGTTTAGTTCCGCTCCGAACCGAAAAAGATTATTTAATAGCACTTTTTGAAGAAAACAAACTGGGTTGTTTAGGTTTAAAAAAGTATGATTTTCTTAGTTTGAAAGAGACCTTGGGATTTATCCAGCAGACCCGAAAAATTTTGGCAATTGAACTGCCTGGTTATCAAGAAGTAAATTTAGAGGATGAAAAAACTTGAGAATTGTTACAGAATTTTCTTTTGACTGATATTTTCCAGTTAGATACCCTCAATGCTCGCAATTTATTTAGTAGATTTTGCCCGTCCTCTTTTGCCGAATTAGTGCTTTTTTTGTCTTTAAATCGCCCCGGGGTCAGAAAAAAAGCCGAGGAAATCATCCGGAAAAAATTCTCTTCAACCAAAAGCCCTTATTCTTCCGTTGCTATTAAAAAAATTCTGGCTGAAACTTACGGTTTTATTATTTTTGAAGAACAAATAAGTCAAATCTTGGCTCTGGTTTATGATTGCTCTTTTGCCGAAGCCGAAGTCAAAAGGCGCGAACTGGCCACTAAATCCCTAGAAAGTAACTTTCTCACCCAAGCCCAAAAAAAACTTTCTCCGGGAGATAGCAAATTAATTTATCAGCAAATTATTTCGTCTACTGGCTATACCTTTAATAAAGCACATGCGGTAGCTTATAGTTATCTAACTTATTATATTGCTTATTTGAAAGCTAACTACTTTCCGGGACTTATTACCTATTTTCTTAACAACAAAAAAGAAAAAAACTTATCTTATTTACAAGAAGCGTTTTTCTATGATTTTCAAATCGAAAAGCCCGATATTAATTACTCGCAAATTAATTGAATAAAAAAAGAAAAAATATTAGTCATGGGATTTAATAATTTGAAAAATTATCAAACGGATTTTTTCCAAGGAATAATGGCGGAAAGAGAAAAAGGAATTTATCAAAACTGGGAGGAATTTCTTAATCGAACTATTAACTGTTGAGAAAAAATAGATATTACTATTTTGGAAGATTGAATAAAAGCTGATTTATTTCGTAGCTTGCAAGTAAATATTGAAGTATTATTAACTAATAGTAAAAATATTTTTCGTTACTTACAAATAAAGAGCAAAGTCCTAACTAGTAACAGCCGAGACTTACCTTTTCTTGCCTTACCAGTAACCAACAACCAGGGGCAAATAAGTAAAAAAATAAGCAATGGAAGAGAACAGGAAACTCTCGGTTTATATATTAATTACTTTTCGCGTTGAAAAGAACTGGCTAAAAAAGGAAATTGTAAATTAACATCTTTATTAGAAACTTTTCCGAAAATTGCGGAATATAGTAATCAAGAAATAGTAATAAATATTTATGCTATTATTTACCAACTAGAAAAAAAAAGTGAAAATGATTATACTCTTTTATTACAAGATGTCAGAAGTTCCTTTAAATTAACTATCAGTGCCAACATTTATCAAGAACATAGTGAAAAATTAGTTATTCATAATGAACTATTATTTGAAGTAAAAATCCGAATTAGCGAGGGTAAAGTGGGTTCCCTTATTTGTGAAAAAATATTGGATTAGGAAGAAAAAAAATTTTTTTTCTGGCTTTCTTGACAGAGAGAATTTAATTTTTAATCTGTTTTTGCAACTTCTTTTTCCGCTTTTTTCATCTTTTTTTTAATAAATAAATCCCGATTATTGTTAAACTTAGCAAAAAAACAATAAAAATAGTCATTCGTCACGGAAAATTGTGATTATTAGTTTGAGAAGGTTTATGGTTGGTTTGTTGCTTTTTTTCATTAACAACTTTTCGCCGCTATTTTTTCTTTACTATCTAACTTTTCTAAATACTCTTCTCAACTGGAATTTCCTTCTCATAAAGAACTGTCTATTTTTATATCCTTATTTCTTTTGAGTAACTCAGTAATTTGGATTTTGGCCTCTTTTTTTGCTTTCTCCAAGGAAGAAGAGTTAGTAATCTTTTGCGTATCAACAACCAAAGTAGGTTTATTTCCCCTTCCTTGGGTTGGGAGAGAGGGCGAAGGGATATTAGGAGGCAGTGAGTTATTATTACCATTACTATTAGCAGGCGAAGGATTATTAGTTCCAGGCATTTCTGTTATTTCAACATAATCGCCTTTTTCGAATGTTCTTTTATCTTTGTCTTTCCAAGAAATTTTATAATCAAGAGTATTTTTCGGAGAAATTATTAGGAAAACAGGATGTTCGTTACTAATATAAATAATATATTCATTATCTAATGAAGCAAATAAGCAATAATTAAAGTCATTATTGGCACTATCGACATAAGTTCGTAAGCCTTGATAACGGGTTATACATTCTCAATTTTGATTATTATTATTATTATTATTATTGCCGTGACCTTGGTTGTTATTTTCTGGTTTATAATTTTGGTATTCGGTTCTTAATTGTCCTTCATTGCCATTATTTAAAACTCATTCACTATCAACTTGTTTAATATCTTCTTAGCCAAGCACAGAAATTAGCGTCAGTAGTTTTCAGGCCAATATCAATTCATTCTTTACAACTATCATGAGAAAATCCTCGATTAGTTCACTCGCTTATTCGGTCGGGGGCATTACGAAAATCCAAGGAAATATTAGCCCAGTCTCGACCTTGATTATCAGTAGTATTGTTAGGGGGGGGTGGAGAAGTATTTTCCCCGTCTTCAGAATTATTATTTCCTATTCCCACCGAGTCAATACAAGTTTGGGAACAATAATCATTACCAGCTCATTTTAAAGAGTGAGGATAACATTTTTTACCACATTTTTGACAATTAGGAAGGCCGCTGATAGAACTAAAGCAGTCATCACAGAAAAATCCAGGGTACGATGAGTGAATACCCATTCCTTTTCCTTCTACAAAAATTACCGTAGCGGATTTTCCGCACCGATAACAATGACACGGAATATCGTCCTCATTAAAGTCTTTATCGCACCAAATACAAACATACTCTTTTACTGTTCCAATTTCGTTCAACTTTTTATAAGCATTACTTATTTCCTTAAACTTCTTTTCGGCTTCTTCTCGGTTGGTAATATTTTTATCTGGGTGCCATTTTAAGGATAATCTTCGATAGGCTTTCTTAATTTCCTCAGGAGTTGGATTTCCGGTTAACCCTAATATTTTTAATGCTTCTTTTGTTTCCATTTCTCTCTTTTTTTTCTTAGGCTTGATTTTGTAATTAACAAGACCTTATATTAATTTTAACTTTTAAGACCAAGTTAGTATATATTTACTATTTATTAGTTTTGTTCCACTATTTTATTAGGCAAAAGAGCCATTTGCCGAGCTCTTTTGATAGCAGTAGCCACCCGCCGTTGGTTTTTGGTAGTTAATTTGCTATATGACTGAGGAATAATTCGTCCTTGGCGATTAATAAACCTCCGTAAACTAACAACGTCTTTGTAATCAATATACTCAATTCCTTCCTGAAAAAAGTAATCGGTGCGAGGACTAATTTTTTTTTCGAATTTAGATTTATTAAATTTAACCATTTTTATATTTAATTATTATCTTCTTTGGGTTTATTAAAATCGACTTGTTCTACTTTTCTAGTAACCCAGTTTAATTCAATTGATTCGTTATAGAGCAAGGCAAAAGCGTAGCAAATAATCGAAGAAATTCGGGTAATTTCCTCTTTTTCTCCATTTTCTTTTTCCTCCCCCGGAGTTATTTTGGCTGTTTGTAAAAATCCTTTTAATAAAACTATGTCACCTTTTTTTAACTGGCTGGTGGCTTCGGGGATTAATTCTCCGTGGATTCGGCAAAAGTAAATTGACCGTTCATCTCCTTTCTGTTGAACAAGAAGTCTAAAAGAAACCACTTGAACCTTACCGTTATTATTTTGACGCGGGATTAAATCAGTAATTATTTTTCCTAACAGTTGAACTTGATTAGAATGATTAATATCGATATTTGCGAAGTCTATGTCTAGTTTAGTAAAATCTAAGACTTTTATTAATACCTGCCGTCCTTGTTTTTCATTTCGGAGATAACCCTTGATTTCTATTATTTCTTCACCCTTGATTTCTTTTTCTAGTTTTTCGGCTTTTTCTCCTTGAGCAACGCAACGTAAAATAGTTAAAGAACGGCTAGGTGCCGGAACAAGCAAACTAAAATAGACTGTAATTTTTTCTTTTTTTTGATCGAGATTTTCCCTAATTTTAATCGGTGAAACCTTGCCAATTACTTTAATTTTGTTCAGCATTTTCCTTTCTTAATCTAATTTTAATCCTTTTTTCTTTTTCTAAATTGAGCAAGGTATAACGGTTAAGTAGTTCGGGCGGAGTTACTTGTAAAATATTTTTCTCTAATTCGCGAGCCTTGTCACGGGGAGAAAAGAAATAAACCAATAAATACTGACTTTCTTCTAATTTATTTATTTTATAGGTCGGTTTTCAATCTTTTTCTTCTATCTTTTCAATATTTTTTTCTCCCAACAAGATTTTCATGTTATTAACTAATTTTTCATATTTAACTTTATCTTTTTTGCTTAAAAGGCAGAGCAATTCATAACGACAATTTTCTTTTTTTTTTGACATGTAAGTAATATATTCTATTTTAATTTAATAACGTAAAAACTTTTTAACTTTGGAATAGTTAGAAAAGAAAAATTTTAACTACCGATATTATTTATTATAATATATTAGTAGCAAGCAATAGAGATAATACCAAAAGTAACTTCTTAATTTTCCCAAAAAGTGACAGGTGCGGAAAGCTGACCCAACGTGCCGTCAAGCGAAAATCAACTATTATTATATTTTATAAACTTGTTTTTTTTTTTTTTTTTTTTGCCTTTGAGAAAAATACTTAACCTAAATATTCCATAAATTCCTCAAATAACCAAGATAGCGATAAGCACAAAAAATAGAATGTTAACTTTGAGTTCTCAGTTAAATTTCTTGGGTTCTGGTAAGTTTTTTTCTTTCTTATTTCGCTTTTGAGTTTCAGAATCCCGACCTTCCTTTAATTTACTTATTTGTTCTGTTAAATTATTTATTTGTCGCTCAAATTTCGCTAGTTTGTCTTTCTCCTCCCCTTTCCCCCTGGGGATAAGTTTGATTTTCTGTCAAATTTCTTTACTAATAATTTCAATTTCTTCCCACGAAGTAGCCGCCCTTATTCTTTCCTCATATTTTTTTTGCTCTACAGCGTCAAATCTCTCTTTATTTTGCCGCAATATATACAAACCATATAATTTAATTGCTTTTAATTGCTTATCTTTTTCTCCGCCAAGTGCTTTTAATTCTTTGCGGAGATTTTTTAATTGCTCTTTATCGTTTTCTTGGTCTGGGTCGTCCCCTTGGTCAATATTAGGAAAATCATGAGGGATAATTTCGTTTACTAAATCAGAATCAATATTTATTTTGCTTTCTGTCCCAGCTGACCTTGCTTCTCTCGCCCATTGTAAAAGACAATAGTCAAAAATACTATTGAGTGCCATTTTTAATTGGCGGACGCCTTTTTCTTGAGTTTTATTAATTATGGTTTCTAAGGCAGCGGGAGTAATCTCAAAATTATTTCGGTTAAGAGTTCCGTTTTCCGCAAACCATTTTTCAATAATTTTCTGAGCGATTTCTTTTTTTTGCTCAATGGCGTTAATTCAACAATTAACAGGCGGGAACGCAAAGAATCTAAATCGGGGATTTTTTTTAGGTCGTTAGCAGTAAGAACGAAAGTTATTTGGGAAAAGTCCAATTTAACCTCTAAGTAATAATCCAAAATTTCTTGGTTCTGGACCGGGTCCAAAATATTCAATAGGCAATTGTGAATAGCAGTTTTAAAAGAAGAACCGGTTTTATCGATTTCGTCCAACAAAATTAAGGGGTTGGGGGTTTTGCTTTCGACCAAGGCTCGGGCTAATTGCCCCATATTGTTTGCTGGTGAACTGGCTTCACTTCCGATAAGAACCGAAGGCTCTGATAATCCGCCTAATGAGACATTAAAAAAACTTTTTCCTAAAGCCTGAGCCAAGATTTGAGCAAAACTGCTTTTACCAATTCCGGCTGGTCCGACTAGGCATGAAATTAGAGGACCTTGTCTAACACCGCGTTGCTCTCAGTGTTCCATTACCTCCAGACTTTCCAAGACCTTTTTTCTTTTGCTCTTCAAATCCTACTTGCTGGTCAAGTATTTGTCGAGCATTTGTCAAAGACACTGGCAAAGTGGTTGAACCGTAAGCGGTAATTAATTCATTTAATTTCTCAATTTTATATTGCAATATTTCTTTTCCTTGACTTCCCCAATTACTTTGTCCGGTTAACCTATTTTCCAACTCTAATTTTTTGGCATTTAGTCGAGCAATAATCGTCATTTATAATATAATTTTTCTAAGTGTAGTTTAAGAGTAACAGTCATGCTTGCTATAATAATTTCCTTCAATAAAGAGAAAAACAGTAATATCAGATTCATTTTTTTTAGGTTTTGGGAAACCAAGTTCACTTACTGATTTTGTATTTTTATTTTTAAGGAGGGCTTTTTCGTATCTTGAAAAAAGTTAGGAGTAGAAATGAGAATTAGGTCTCTTTCAATATTTTTTTGAAAGGTGGGACGCATATGTTTTCAATTGACTAACTCCACCATAAAAGGTAAGTTTGATTGTTCGAATTCCTCTCGCATTTCACAAATAACGCTACTAGGAATATTATCATAATAGCAAAGGTCTAAATCCGACAACCTTCAAGCATTACCCTTTGCCCTTGAACCGTAGGCGTAAAAAGTATACGGATACTTGCTTAGTATTTGCTGAATTATTTGTCAATGTATTTTCTCTAATTGCAACATAACATTAAAGTTTTTTCAAATTTTTAATTAGTAGGTCAAGATTTTTTAAGAATTGGGGCAAGATAGGATAAACTTCTTCCATTATTTTCTCATAATACTCATGAACAGTAATATTTCTTTTGTCGACATAGTCAAACCAAGGTTCAGTATTAGGAATTAGCCCTTCTAAACCAGTTATGCGAAAAACTTCTTTGGCCGTATAAACATGAGTTCCACGTAAACTAAGTATTTTTCGACAAGTTTTATAAGCCAGTTCGTAACTAACTTCAAAGGTCTGAATAGTGCCGGCAATTTCCAACTCGCTTTGGGCCTCTCGGAGAGCCTTGTGGAGGAAATTGCGAGCGGATACTAAGGGTTCAATATCTAACTTATTATTTAGAATGTATTTGGGCATGATATACTAACTAGAGTTCACTATTTTAAAAAATTAAATACTTTTTTAATTCACTAAGTTTGGCAGAATCGTTTTTTTTCAAGTTGTCGAGGGCTTCTTTAGCTCTGCTGATAATGTTGTATTCCTTACTATGGAGAATTTCTCCTTTTTTATCTTTAATTTTTCCCTCCCCATATTTTCTCCAAAATTTTTCGTGCCTGTTGCTCTCAAATTTATTTTTTAGATTTCCTTTTTCGTCTAAATTTCGATCATCATCTAATAAAAATCAATAATTCAAATTCAATTCTTTAGCCAGTTCGTTGAAGAAAATATAATGTCATTTGCCAAAAATAGGAATTACTTCAATCTCCTTTAATTCCTCATATAATTCCTTTCTCAAAAGGTTATTGAACAAAATGTAATCTGACATTCCTTCTACAAAAAGTACTTTCTTGCCGAAAAAAATTCTTAAGGTTTCTTTATTGAATAATCTTTTTCATTTACTTGAATAAAAGTTAGGAGCATTGACATTTTCTCTTTTCTTGTCAGCAAATTCTTCATAACCTTTTTTTATTTTTTTCTCAATAATCTCTATATTACCTTTGACATCAGAATCAATAATCTCTTTTATGATTTTCTGAAAGTGCAAAGGTTTTTTCAAATTGAAATTATTTTCATCCCTTTGGATCATAATTAAATCAACATTATTTTCTTCGCTAGATAAATCTTCAATAAAATGTCCTAAAAAGTCTGGTGAATGAGTGGTGAAAATTACTGTAACGCCATTCTTGGCGGCTCTTTTAATCAAACTTGCTAGATCAGCAATTAAAGAAGGATGGAGGAACAATTCAGGCTCGTCAATTAGCAAAATTGTTGATTTAATTTCGGTCGGGAAACATGATCTTGGAATGCCGCTTCTATTAATCTCATATCCAACACCTATATCCTCCACCAGAGATTCTAAGGTCTTGTATTTTAAATAACCTGATCCCATTTTATTTAGAGAATGACAAATATCTTTATTAAATCCTCTATAGGTGACGAGTCCGGCTTCTTCATGCCTAATAAAGCCATCTTCAGGACCATAATCTGGAACTCATGAACTAGTTTCGCTTGATCCCCCCTTGTTAGCTTCTCTTATAAAATGATCATGGTTGAGTCCTTCTTCGTTTTCTTTTCCGTAAAGCAACTCGTAGTCACGAGTTTTTACTTTTTCAATTTTAAATCCTTCCTTTTTAGACAAAAATGAAGTGCTGGTTGTTAAATCAAAGTAGTATATTTTATAAAATAAAGTCATACTTCCCTCAGATTCCCTTTTTTTGTAAGCGGGATTTGAATGGTGAAATATAGTTTTGATGGCGAGTAGAGGAGATGGAGAAACTGACCTTAACCGAAAACTTAGATGACTCGAATGCGAACTAAATGATGAATCTGGAGAAAATAAGTCTAGTAAAGATGTACTCTTTCGGAATTCAGGTAATCTTTGGTCTATCCCTTGAAAAAATTTGGTTTTGTAATCACTTGCTTCGAAATGATCTCATTCTTCATTTTCATCATATATATAGTCCAATAAATTTGTTTTACCAACATTGTTTTCTCCAACAATTATCGTTATACCTCCTTTTATAAACTCAAATTCAATATTTTTTAAATTGCGAAAGTCTTTTATTTTTTTTCTTACCCTTCACTTGCTTCTATCTTTCATAAATGAATAATTATTGTATCTATAATAATATTTTTTTAAGGTTCTGATTTGAATACAGAAAATTTCCCAAATTACAAAGGAACTCGCTAGTTAAAATCTCTCACGTGCTTTTAAACCCTGCAAATTTCTTTCAACACATTCCAATTTTCATGCGATTTACTCATATCTCCCTTAGTAATAAACAAAAATCTTCATTTTTTAATTTTTCTTTCCTCTTCTCCTAAGTCTAAATTTAAGGCATTTAGCCATTCTTTGGTGGCTTGATTTTTCTCTTCTATTTCCGGATTAGGATTATTGTCATCTTTAATTTCTGCTAGTCAGTGAATATCATTTTCATCTATTACTAAAAAATCCGGAAAATAGTGTCTTTGGTTTTTGCCATACAGAATATAAATTTCATCTCCTCATCTCAAAAGTCTAACCCACTTTTTAATCTCTTTGGTTTTGCCAATTATTACTCAATATTAGAACCGGACGGATTTTGCTTTGTTCCTTCTCCTTTTTGCGGTTAAAGTCGGCTAGTCAGATTTCGCCTTGCTTAGGAATTTTCCCACTCATTATTTTATTGCTTCTCCTGCCACTTCATCTCAGATTTTATTTTCCTTTTTTAAGGCTTTACTGCGGGCTGACCTCTTATAACCATCAATTAATTTTTGCTGAAATCTTTTTTGCTCTTGTTCTAATTTACCATCGTATTCATTTAGTTCCTTAGCAATGGTCTTTTCCACAAACCTGCTAATTTGACGGTTGCCAATTTCTTCTTTTAGCCGTTGATACAAATGAGGATTAACAGTAATACTTAAAGTTGCTTTTATTCTTTGATTTACCATAATATTAATTTTATACAATGGACCAATGCTAAAAACTTTACTAACAACTCAAGTAGTCTTTAATTTGTCGACTTATTATCAAGAAAAGATTAGGAACCAAGGGTTAAAAATAGACCTGTTTGATTATGAGGTAAGGTGACTGGTGTCACAAAATTCCGAAATTGAGGAAATTAGGGAGAGCAAAAATTCTTTGGGAAATCTAACTTTAATAAAAGTAAAAGATGAGCATCCCTTGCTCCCATGAGAGCAAAAAAGATTGATTTATAAGGAACTAGCGGATAATTGTTTGATAAACCTTGAAGAAGAAAACTGGACTGAAAGAGAAGATATACATGATTTGATAGAAAAGCGAAAAAGATTTTTAATAGAAGATTTTAAAAGACTTCAAATTTTTGAGTCTGAATAAATTAAAAAAAACAATTGCGAAATAAATTTTTTAAAATTATAAAACCTCTAAGTGATTAATGTTTTTAACTTTTTCTTGCTCAGTTTCTTTTCCCACCACCATTTTCATATCGCGAAATTGCTTTTCGGTTATCAAAAAATATCTAACATTTCCTATTTTGGGACAATTTTTCTCTAACTTTTGGGCGGATTCTTGGGCATAATCAAAAGTATGACAAAGTTTGGCATAAACTGAAAATTGAAGCATATAATAACCACTTCTAAGCAGATATTTATGAAAATAGCGAAAAGATTTGCGATTTTCCTTAGTTAAGGTTGGCAAGTCATATAAAACTATTATTCTCATTTGCCAGCACCTATCTTTTTTCTCCATTTTCCAGTTTTTGGTAATCAAAGTAGGAAGTTTTATTTTACTAGTGCTATTTTCTTTCAGGCAAGAAATAAAAGATTTAATCATAATATCAATTGCTATATAAAGTTTTGTCTTTATATTGTTAATTTTGACTGGATAATATAGGATTTTTGTTATTTCCTCCCTAATTTGAGAGGACGATTTATTTTCTTTTTCTAATATTGAAAGGTTAGTGATTGCTCAATAATCAATAATTGGTCGCAAAGGCTCAATAAAATCACTACTTAAATTAAATCAATTAGTCGGTCCACAGTGCTTTATTCCTAAGTGGTCATTTAGACCATAACTAGTAATAGTTCTCGAAAGAGCACTAGTTAAAATCTTGTAGCCATAATTTAGTGCACCATTAATGTTGTCATCAGCAAAACGAACAAATTTCGCACCATACAGCTTTCGGAAAAAATATTTGGCTACTGCCCCTTCCCGATTAGTTTTGTCCCCATTCTCAACCTTTTTCAACTGGTTTTTAATTCACTTCAAATCTTCTTTTGGACCTTTCTGTTCTAGAACTAAATGACTATTCTCAATTTTCTTTTGAATGATCTTTTTTCACAGCAAATCCTTAAATCTCTGATTCATTTTCAACTGCTTTCGAAAAACACTTAGAGGAGAAAAGTGTTGATTTAAACTGATAAGTAAACCGGTTGGGTCATATTTTTCATTAGTTACTATTAAAGAAATATTATTTTCGGCTAATTTACTTAGTAAATGACTAGTTATGCGAGAGTGACTATTTTCGAGAATTATACAGTTAAGGTCGGCAAGTGAAAATTGTAATTTATTTTTTTCTTTTTTATCAATTAAAGTGAATTGATTATTTTTAAGACTTAACTCATCATTCTCCCTTACTATTATAGTTTTTCAATTCATGTTGCTAAATAATTGATAAAAAATAAGATTTCTCCTAACTCCACTAGTATTTCGACAGAGAACTAAAACCAAGGGGTCCACATCGATTAATTGGACTGAGTATTATTCTTCTCTTATTTGACAGAGAACTAAAACTTGTTCTTTAATTCATTTTTCTAAGTTATCAATTCTTTGGTCTTTGTCTAGCAAATTACTAGTTCCCCCTAATTTGTGTTTTTGAACGATAAGTAGACGAGCAATTTGTCCAGCAAAAGCAAAATTGTCGCTGTTGGTAAAGAAAATATTCTTGTGAGGATAAGTTTTAAGTAAGGGCTGCTTATAGCAAGTAGCAACGATAATTCCAAAGTCAGCCTGGTGTGTCTTCATATCCTTTTCCAATTTGTCAACTCAATTATTTTCCCATTTTTCCGTATTTTTAGTTTCATAAACTATTTTTCCAATAACTTTTTCTAGTTCATTTCCTCCCCGGACAGTTTGTAAAATATCAGCCCGAGTTCCGGCCGAAGTGCGAACATGAGTAATGTTTTCAATGATGTCACTACCACTAAAAATTTCTTGAATTTTTTCCTGGACATACTCTTCAAATTCTTGTCCTTTTTGGACCGGTTTCACAAACTCTTTGCCTAACTTATAGCCTTCGACAAAAGATTTCAAAAGATTATTTTCTTCTCGTAATTGGATGACTAAGGGAGAATTTTCAATAATTTCTTGCATTTCAACTAATAACTTTTCTTTATATTGTTCTTCTTGACTAGTAAAATAGTTTTGGAGATAAGTTACCGCTAAATGCTCTTCTGAAAAATTTTGAGCGGTAATAATTTTTAGACACCAGGGGCATTTTAGAGAAAAGGAAAGATTATCTGACAGCAATTGACTATTAACTTTTTCGATGCTCATAATATTTTAATTTTATGGCGTCTTTTTCTATCAGAAAAGTTTGCTTAAATTAACAATTTTGGTTATTTTATTCTAACTTATTTGAATTTGTTGGGTAATTAACAAATATTGTTGGTACTCATTTTGTAATTCCTTGGTTTCTCCATTGTTTAATATTCAATCAGCGTCGACATTTTTGACATCTCTTAGCCAAGCACAAAAATCGGCATCAGTAATTTTCATCCCAATATCTATTCATTCTTTAATTTCCTCATAAGCAAAACCCTGTCTTTGCCATTCTTGAACTAATTCCGGGGTGAAATCAAGTCTGATATTTTTTCAACTTCTATCATTAGGGTCAGTAATTTCTTCGTTTTTTCTTTTGAGCAAGGGTGTTTTAATGTTAGGTTCCCTTTTTATTTCTTCATTATAATGATTTCTTAAATCTTCTAATTCCTCTTTTGTTAATTCACTAATTATAAGGTCATTATCTCCTATGTAAATAGCAAATTCGGCATCCCAAGGACTAAAATCATAGTCTTCAACTCAGGATTTAACTTGGTCATAATCAAAACCAAATCCTTCTCATTCTTCTTGTAACTCTTCTGTAAAATCCGGATGAATATCTGTTCAGTTAGTCATAGTTATTTTTTAGACAATTGAATACTTCAAATTATAATTGAGTTTTAATACTTTTTGTTTTTTAAGGAACAACCTTTTATTAACTATATTTTTGTCCCAAATTTTTCATCTTAGTCAAAAGTTCTTGCTGAAATTTTTTGTGTGGATGTCCATCCATAGCAATATATCTAAAAATCCAATCATATAACTGATACAAAGTCTTCCGTTCTTCAAAACCGGCAAGAAAGGAGTGATATTTCTGGTATTCTGCTAAAAATTCTGGTTCGGAAAATTCGCCTCTGCAAACTTCTGGAACCTTACCTCCAGGTCAATCAAGTTCTTTATCAGAATAATTATAATGCAAAAAAAAGAAATAAATACCATTCTGGCTTATATTAGTGGCTGAAAAAACGGTAAACTTACTGCTGACCCGCTACAATTTGATGAATTAGCCAAAAGAAGGTATGAAATATATGAAAAATATCAAGAGTATTTAAAAACTAACAAAGCCTTGGATTTTATCCCTTTACTGTTTTTGTCTTTCTAAAATATTATTAATATGAAAGCAATCGGTATTTTGGGGAAAAAAATAAGTATGACTCAGTTGCCAGTGGCAAGCGGAGAATTTAGGCCAGTCACAGCAATATTGGTTAGTAATAATATAATCGTGCAAGTAAAAACCGAAGCCAAGGAAGGTTATAACTCTTGCCAAATCGCTTTTGAAGACTGTTCGAAAAAAAACCTTAATAAGCCTTTATTAGGACATTTAAACAAAAAAAGTATTCCACCCAAAAGACACTTGCGAGAAATAAGAAATATGGCGGGATTCGAAGTCGGCTCACCAGTAGATTTAGCACTTTTCCAAGCCGGAGAAAAAGTTAAAGTAAGCGGCACTTCCAAAGGTAAAGGTACCCAAGGAGTAATTAAAAAATATGGTTATTCGCGGGGAAATATGACCCATGGTGGTGGTTATCCGCACCGTTTAATTGGCTCCATGGGTGGTGGTCGCGGCACTAATCAAGGCGTTCCTAAAGGCAAAAAAATGCCAAGTCGAATGGGTAATGAAAAAACTACTCAAAAATCGATAATAGAAAAGATAGATAAAGAAAAGCAAATCATTTTTATCCGTGGCTCTGTCCCTGGTCCTAAAAAAGGCTTAATTATACTAAGAAAGAATTTATAAATATACATTAAAAACTTATTTAAAAATGTATGGAGCAAAAAAAAAAAAAAAAAAAAGTAATTTAATTATTATTGTTGCTGCGATTGCTTTATTAGTAGTCGGTGTAGCAGTTGGCGGATATTTTCTAGTCCGAAAAAAAGATAATAAACAAAAACAAGGAACAAATTTAGGCGAACAGCAAAGACAACAAGTCAGAGAAGCCGCTTCCCAATTAGTTGGAAATATTTTAGATAATCAGAGCAATTTTAATCAGTTGACAACCAACCCGGATGGAACAAGAAGAAATATTGATGATGTTGAAGAAATTTTTTTATCAAGTGGTGGCGGTAACCAGTCTTCACAAATTACTAATTCTCTCTCTCCCGCTGTATTAGAACAAAGTTGGTATGAATTACGACCTTTTATAATCGCTTGTTTACAAAATTTAAATCAGTCTCTTATAGAGAGTGCACGGTTGCGAATTAGAAGCGATATTGAGAAGTGGATTAAATGAGAATTAAAAAAGATAAAAGGTGATTATAACAAGTTATTAGAGGAATATTTAAGGGCAATTCAAGAATTAAAAACGATTAAAGAGTTATTTGAAAAGTATAGCCAAATCCGTAATAACTTGGTGATTAACAAGGTAAGTCGCAAAGATGAACTAATTGCTAAAGGCTATTCAGAAATCGATGTGGCGCAGTTAAAAGAGTGAAATTTATTAGAAGAAGATTTTCCTAATTTGTATGATAAGAAAAGAATTGGTATAACTAATGCACTTTCCGCTATAAGTACAACTTGGAGAAATCGAGAAGGAAAGATAACAAAGAAAGAAATAACAGGTGGTCTTAGTCGAGAATTATTGCTTTTTTTAAAACCTTCAAACAACCAATCACCAACAGTCTATTTTCCGCCTGACAAAATAGAGCAAGCTCAACAAGACTCAGTGCGTAAGATAGTTAAAGACCTGCTTCAAAATTCGTCAGCGGGATTAGAAAAGGTTCAAAATTATGACATTTACATTTTGCGAGTAAATAAGTAGCCATGATGGTGCCGGACCATCCTCAGGGGTAGCTCATTATTTAGCTCTTTACAGTGCTTTGAATAAAATACCTTTACCAAGAAATTTGGCTTCCACGGCCACTATCAAAGGGGAGAAAGTAGGAGGCATAGGAGGTTTACAGCACAAATTAGAGGCTTCAGTGAATAATGGAATAGATACTTTTATTCTTTCCAATGAAAACAAAAAAGATAAAAATAAAGAACAAAGTTTTGACGATACCCCCCTGCCAATGTTGAAAATAAAATCAAACAAGTTCATTTTATTTCAAGTGTCGACCAAATAAAAATCGCCTTAAATGAAATATTGAACGGAAATGTTGAAGAAAAAGTTCATAATTGCGGAAAAGACAAAAAACCCGAAGAACCTCAACCCCGCGACCCACCACAACCAGATAAACCAAACTCCGAAATTACTTCCGAACAACTTTTAAGTTTAGTAGCAGAATATTGTTTAAGAGAAGTTCCAGAAGACCAAAGAGATTTTAAGAATAAATTGATGAGTTCTTGCCATAACAACTCAGACTATCAAGGATCAGTTGTTAGAGCATTAAAATTACGCGAGGAATATTTGGGGAAATTAGAAAAAATCCAAACCAATCCACAAAGAAACGAAAATCAGGGAAAAATTGGGCAACTTCAAAAAGAAATATTTTACTTAACAGAGCAAATAAGGCAGCTGAAGTCATTAAATAACAAAGAGGACGAAATTAATCAATTAGTAAAACAAATAGAGGAAAAAAACCAAGAAATAAAAACCTTATCCGAAAATGATATTCCTCATTCTCCGGAAGAAAATATAGAGAAAAGAAAGAAACAATTATACCAAGAATACGAAACCAAATTCAAAGAAATCGCTTCCATAGTCGCTAATTTAACCAGCGAAATTTTAACTAACTTGACCAATCTGAGTTATAATATCAAAGAAATTAAGTGAACTAGTGAATTAAAAGCACCTAGTTTAACTTCCGAGTCTTCAGTGGAGCCCATTTTTGGTGAAAAATAAATAAAAAATTCAGAAGCAAAAATTAATACTTACCGTGCTTTTTTCAATGAAATTTCCCGTAAGGATTACGATAATAGAGTTTGACAAAGCAATCATTATTGCCTTTTTCCAACTTTTTACTAATTTTTCTTAGAATTTTTGGTTGCCAGGGAATATAAACAACCACACTAATAACTTGTTCCTCGAAGTAAATAATAAAAAGAGTAGTTTTCGGACTAACTTTTTGCCCTTCTCGGACTTCGCATTGCAATATTTTATCCAACGGCACCGGATTTTTTTTATCAATTTGGATATCCACTAATATTTGTAAGCCATATTTATTAGTAATTTGGATAGTATAATTCGGATAGATTTTGCTAATAATTCCCTGCAACGGACTTTTAACTTTCCAGCTTCTTAAATCACAAAAATAATAAGATTTGCCGATTAATGATTTTTGGTTTTTTTTAATAAGGCGACATTTGACCGGCGGAGCAAGTCACTCAGACCAGCCAATTAAGTAAAACCAAAAAAGTTTTAATTTTCTCCAATCAATCGAGAATTTCATATGAGAAATTTTAGTTAATTCGGTCAAGGATTTTGGACTTTATTAACCAAGACCTCAAAATATTGCGGTTGGTTAATAGCCAGTTCGGATAATTGCTTCCGGTCTAACTTAATTTGGGCTAGTTTCAGTAAGCAAATAAATCGGGAATAAGTTAAACCTTTTTCCCGACAAGCATTATTTAAGCGGGTTATTCATAACCGGCGAAAATCTCTTTTTTTTTGTTTGCGACCGCTATAAGCATCAACTTTGGCGTTCATCAATTGTTCCTTAGCCGTTTTAAATAATTTACGCTTGGAACCAAAATAGCCCTTAGCCTGTTTTAAAATTTTTTTCCGACGCCGTCGCGTCGCGGGGGTATTTTTTACTCGAGACATTTCTATTTAATAATTTCTTCTTTGTGAGTTTGGGTTTTTTGGCAAAATTTACAGTATTTTTTTAAACTTAATTTCTCACCTTGCGGCTTCTTGGCCTTAGAAGTGCGGTAGTTTTGGTGTTTTTTGGTACAATTACTACAAGTTAAAAATAAGTTGACACGCATAATTTATTATTTCTTTTTCTTCTTACTAGACCTAGTCTTACTAGTTCCCTTAGTTTTTTTGGTTTTCATATTCTCGACGTTGCTGAGAATTCGATTTACTTGTTCGGGTGAAGGTTTTTTCCCCATCGCACTTAACATATTTTTCACTTGGTCTTTATCAACGTTTTCTAATTGTTTTTTTACCGGTTCTAGTCTCTTTTTTATAAAACGATGGCCAAAAAACATACAAGTAATAACTCCTAATAGGAATGATAATATAATTGAGAAGAAAAATTGTGTTGTTGTAAACATAATAATATTAATTTTATATCAGCAAGAACTTTTTATAGTATACATTTTTGGTAAAATCGAACTAAAAGCCGAAATAGATTGAGTTTAACTGCTCTTTTTAAAAATTACTTTAATTGGTAAGTATTCTAAGCCTAAATGTTTCCGTAGGTAATTGGTTATATATCGTTGGTAGGAAAAGTGAGTCCATTGGGGGTTATTGACAAAAAAAATAAAATGTTGGACTAAACCCGGTTCTTGCTTAGCGAAATAAATTTTTAATTTACCACCTTTATGATATTTAGGCGGATTATTAGCCAGCACTTGGGCGGTGGTTTCTTCGAGTTCTTTTCTGGTGAATTTTTTCTGTGATTTAGTTATTAATTCTTCCAAGTTTTTCATTAGCAAGTCAATCCCGGTGCCTTTTAACGCCGAAAGACAAATTATCGGACAATAACTCAATGATTTTAGCCGAAATTTTATTTCTTCCACTAATTCTTTTTTACTTTTTATTAAATCACATTTATTAACAATTATAATTAGAGGTTTGTTATATTTTTCACCTAAATTAACTATTTGTAATATTTGTTTAGTCAAAGGTGAGGAAGCATCAATTATCGCTCAGGCTAAGTCACATTTTCGTCATAAGTCTCTGGTTATTTTTTGTTCTTTGGTAATGCCGGCGGTATCGACCAATCGAAAATCAATTTTTTTCCAATTTCAATTACTAATTACTGGTTCCTGAGTAGTTCCCGCGATAGAAGTGGCTAGCGAGCGATTTTCTTGTAGCAAATAGTTCATAAGCGTAGATTTTCCCGAGTTAGGTGGTCCAAAAATAAGCAAATTTAAATTTTTATCTGGGTTAACAATTCTCTCGTCGCGGGGAGAAGGAAGCAAATTAATTATTTCTTGGGTTAATTTATCACAGTTAGTTCCGTTTAGTGCCGAAATTGAAAAGCAATATTTAGCCCCTAAAACTTGATAAGAAGACGTTTTCTCCTCAAATTCTTCTAAATCGACCTTATTTAACAATAAAATAAGTGGTGTTTTAACCTTTTTTAAGTATTGATTGAGTAAAAGAGTATTTTCGTCCACTTGCTCGATTACTCAGCAAGTTAAGTCGCTTTTTTTTATTAACTCCTCGATTTGTTTTCTCATTCCTTTTTCTATTTCCGACTGGGGAGATAAAATGAAAGAGGGGGTATCTATTAATTTATAACTATTGCCTTCTATTCTAATTAACTGTTCGGTATAGTTGATTATTGGGGTAATTTTTTGCTTAGTATCGCGGGAATAATTTTTAATTATTCAGCGAAAAAGGGTAGATTTTCCCACCCCTTTTTGTCCGATAATAGTAATGACAGGAACAAATCTACTTTCCATAATTAATTTTCCCCAAAAAATCCTCCTCAATCCCGTAATTTACTGGCTTTTTTTTTTTTTTTTTTTTGCAGATATGGGAAAGTTTAGTGTTATAAAATATTAATTAGTATATGCAAATATACATAAATAAAAAAATATCTAAAATAATAATAAATAGAGAAAAATATGACAAAACAAACAATACAATTTAAAAAAACCAATGTTAATAATAATGAAAGTGGTGGACCACTAGAATTAAGTATCGAAACTTGCCAATTTCCTACTAAGGAAGGGTCAAAAGCAGTGACAAAAATTTTTTTCGTTGCTAACCCTAACGAAAGCGGACGGCAAGATTTAAAAACAACTCTCGCAAGTGCTAATGAAACTTTTCAATTGGAGTATGATGATGAGGAAGTTGAGGTAGAAAAAAACGAATCAGGGATGGAGATGAAATCATCATCGGAACCAGCCACAGCCAGTGTTAGAAATAAGATAACACATAAACTAAACGCCGACAACCGAGAATTAAGAATATTTGAACTTAATTTAATTACCATTACTCCCCAAACGGAAAGTTCCTCGGGGCAAAATACACTTATAATTTCTAAATCTAAACCAACGGAAAATACGGATAATGTGGCAGGAAGAATTTCTTCGGCAGACACAGGAAATCAAGGCAATAGGGAAAGCAAAACCAATGATAATAATTCCTCAGAAACGGAAAATACCAGCGGAACTGGTGGCAATGGCAGCAATAATACTCAAACAACCAAAAACAGTGCTATCTCAGAAATTACTACACTGCTGAACCAAGACCCAAAAGTAACTGACGCTGATTTAGGAACTGATTATCAAAACTGACAAACCCAAATAAATAATTGCTCGGAGGAAGACGAAATTAATAACTTAAAAGATAGAATCGCGGCTGTCATTAAAGCGAAAAGAGAACAAAAACAAACCGACGCCAAATTAGAAGAAAACTTACGAAAAGCCAACCAACCTACTGCTACTATCGACGATAAAAAAGAGGCCATAACCGAAATTGACAAAAGCGAAGGACAACAATCATATGAAGAAAAAAAACCAGAAACCGCAAAAATTAAAGAGGAAATCGCCCAAAATAATATCGTTGAGTATCAGGATAAAGTTATCTCGTCCATTGCCAGCAAATTAACCACTAATGAAGTTAAAGAAAATGAGTTAGATGCCGAAACCCAACGAGAAGTCAAAGATTTAAGAGACAAAAAAATTGTTGAACCAGAAAAATTGGTCGCGGCGGAAATGCGAATTGCTGAAAAAATTGGGAAAAAGGGTGCCGAAGTAAAAGTAAACAAATTAACTCAGCAAGCCGAAGAAGCCTTAAAATCGAAAAATACCGCGGAAATAGAAAGATTAAAAAAAGAATTATTAATTTTTATTAGTAGCAGTAATGTTTATAACCAGACTCAGAAATCCAAGGCGGAAGAATTAATTAGTAAATTAGAAAAAGCCAGTAAGTCCAATAATAAAAATAACTCTTCTAACCCCAATAAATCGGAATTTCCGTGAAAAATAGTTCTCCCTATTTCCCTCTTGGGAGTATTAGTGATAGTTGGAGCAATAGTAATAGCCAAGAAAAGAAGAAAATAACCAGTTAGAATAACGCAAAAAAATTAATGGGGGACGGTTGCTCCCTCTAATAATTGAGTTAGGTTTAAATGAGTAATTGCTAATTTATAAATTGTCAAAAAAGTTATAAAGCTTATATAAAATAAAATTATGAATAAAACCAAGAACAATGACTCGTTAAAAGAGAAAACCAAAACAACTGCCAAAAAAGCTACTCAAAAAGTTAAACAGACTGCCAAAAAAGGCAAGAAAAAAACCGATGAAATTCGCCAGAGTTCCACCTGAAAAAAAACCAAAGATGTTGCCAAAAAGACAGCGAGGATTGCCGGCTCACATTTGGCAACCATGCGAGCTGCTATCACTTTATCCAACCAAGAATCAGAATTAATTAACGAGTTAAAAAATAAATTAAATAAAAACAAGGTCTACCCCTCCAAAAGCGAAATATTGCGGGCGGGATTATGACAATTAAAAAAAATGAGTTCACAAGAATTAGAAGCAGCAGTCAAAGAATTATTCACAGTAAAGCAAGTTCGTATGCTTTAAGTTCTCTCAATTTAACATAGTTATATCTTTTTACAGGAGAAAGTGTAAAAAAGCAATAAAGTTTATTTTTAAGAGTTATGGAGACTGATTTTGGAATAATAATTTCGGTTTATTGGCTAATAATTACGTTAATTGTCTTTGGTCTGATACTTTATTTTCTGGGACGGGCTAAATTTTGGGAAACTTTATTTAGTTTCTTTTTCCTAATTTTTACTTTTATACTCTCCATTATTATTTATAATTCTTTATTAGATACTGCTTGGGGGAAATCGTTAAGAAGTGGATGGACGGGAAAGAGAAATCTGAGAAAGGTCAGTTTTTTACTGGCCTTGCTAATTGTTTTATTCCTGGGATTATCTATTTATGTTTTGGTTGCGGTCTGAAAATACTGGCGGAAAAAACGCAAAAGCAAAAGACGAAAAAGAAAACGTTAATGATTTTTTCAAATACTAGTTAATTCCTCGATAACTTTCCTATTTTCTACTTGTTGGAAATAATTCTTTAATTCTTTATGAGTCTCTTCGCCCAAGATATCTCTAATTTTTTCTCATTCCTCGTTTTTCACGGCAGTAAGAAAACTAGTTAAATTAGGATAAAAAGTGGTTAATTTCTTGGCTTTTACTGAACTAAGCAAAGGAATACCCAAGGCGGTTAGCAAATTAGCTCACGGCTGTTTTTTGGAATTTTCAATGGAATTCAAAATATTACTGACTACTTTTTCTTGAAATCCTTCTAATTTTAATAATTCTTCTTTTTTGTGGCCGAGGTGGTAAAAATCCTCCGGGCTTTTCAGCAGATTATTTTGGTAAAGTTTTTTAATGTTTTTTTGGCTTAGTCCTTGGATATCAACACCTTTTTTGGCAGCAAAATGAGTCAGATAATTAATAACTTTCTGCGGACAATTAATATTAGCACATACTTGGTAAAGGTTAGTTGAGTTTCATTTTAATTCGGAATTACACGATAGGCAACGGGTCGGCGGTATTCAACAATTATCGCTATTATCCGACTTAATTATTTGTGTTATTTGGGGAATGACATCCCCCGCTTTTTTTATTACTACTTCATCACCAATATTCAAGTTTAAATTACGGATAAAAGCGTAATTATGTAAAGTTACTTTGCTTATTTTGCTTCCTTGTAATATTACCGGAACTATTTCCGCTACATAGGTTATTCGACCGTTGCGACTTACTTCGGTATAGACATTTTTTACTTGACTAGTAGTTGCCAACGCTGGAAATTTATAAGCGATGGCTCAGCGGGGAAACCTACTAGTTTGCCCGAGTTTTTGGTAATAATCATAATTGTTTACTTTAACCACAATTCCATCACTTTCAAAATCCAACTTTTCTCGTCTTTTTTCCTGTTTTTGCATGAATTCTCAAACTTTTTCGATATTTTGACATAGTTGATAGTGAGGACTAACGGAAAAACCAATCTCTTCTAGTTCTTGCAAGCAAGCTAACTGAGTCGCTAAATCATTATTAAATAACTGGTAAGCAAAAAAGTTCAATTTTCTAACTTGTAAAGGAATTAAAGTTCGCAAACTTCCCGCGGCCGCATTACGGGGATTGGCTAACAATTTATTAGTGTTTTTCGCCAACCCGGCGTTTAAAAGTTGAAACTCTGATTTTTTCATATAAACTTCGCCCCGTACTTCACAATTATTAACTTTTTCCAAGAAAAAAGGAATATCTTTTATTAGATATTTATTGAAAGTAACATCCTCGCCAATATCTCCGCTTCCGCGGGTGCTAACTTGGGTTAAGTGGTGATTTTGATAAATAAGACTAACTGATAATCCGTCGATTTTTCATTCACAAATATATTCTATTTCCTGGTCCGTTTTTAGTATTTTTTTTACTCGCTCCTCAAAGCGTACTAAATCCTGGTAATTATCGACACTATCCAAACTCAACATCGGAGTTGGACGAATAACTGGTTGAAGTTTATTATTAATGGCATAGCCGGGTTTTTGGGTGGGAGAGTCGGGAAAAACAAAATTATGTCGTGTTTCTAAGTCTCGTAACTCTTTTAATTTTTTATCGTAAATAGCATCTTCCGCTGTCGGCTCGTTAAGAACATAATACTCATAATTTCACTGGTTAAGAAGAGCAATGAGTTTTTTCATTTTTTTTTCCAGTTTTTTCGGCAAGGGTTTATTCATAAAAGTTTAAAATTAGTTAATAAATTTTTATGACGGAAAAAATTGGCTTCAGAACATTATATAACAAGTTTAAATTTAAATTAATTAGACATTTTCTCTTTTCTACGCTCAAAATAATAATTAAAGTTGTACTGAGTCGAGCAGTAATAGCAATTTTCCAAGCTCAGGAATTACCGGAAAACTATATTGGTTGGTTAATGCCAGAAAAAATACAAGGGTGGCTAGGATTAGAAAACACAATAATAAATAAAAGAAACTTTATTATCATTAGCTTAGCCTTAGTACTAATTTTTGCCTTCGTTTATTACTGAGAAAGTTTGTGAGAGGAAGAATTAAGAGTACGGGGAAATCATTACACCAAAAACCTTCTACTTGCCAAGTTTCGTCGTCTGTCTTTTGCGGAAAAACAAGCCAAAAAAGATATAATAAATAACTTGATTGAGAAAGACGCCGGCGAAATCGGCTATTATTGAGAACATTTACCCAACCATATTTATCATAGTCTTTTAGCCATCATCGGCATTTTACTTTTTAATTGAGATAATATTAGTAAAATGAACGCTCGCCAAGTGTGGTTTTCGGTTTTTTGATTAGGTTTAGTTAGTATAGTGGTTTATTTTTTTACCAAAATTCTCTTAGTTAATGAAAGAAAATATAAAAAAAGGCTCGATAAAGAATGGCAAGTAATTAATAAGGAAAGAAACAACATTATTTTAATTGAAGGCATGGGGTTAAGTACGCACTACCAAGAACAGCAGAAAATTATAACCCGTTCCAACGAAAATTTATGTCTTAACAATAATCGCCTTAAATCATTAAACAAGACGATACCAAATAATTTACTAATGGAGGTTTTTCCGTTCTTTTTATTATTGTTAAGCGGTGCTGATTTCAATGGGGTAATATTAATTACTTTTTGAAGTATATTTAAGAGTTTTGGTGAAATAGTTCATTGCTTATGAGATTACACTGATTATGCTTCTTCGTGCGAAAGAATTAATAATTTTCTGGCTCTTCCCGAAAAAAACGATAATCTGCCCGGAATAAAATTAACTAATAATATTTCGCTTCACGCCATTATTTTTTCCCAAGTATCTTTTCGCTATCCAGGGCAAACCGAATGAACTTTAAAAAACTACAATCGAGTTTTCTCGCCCTCCGAAATTAATTATTTGACGGGAGGCAACGGCACCGGAAAAAGCACTATTTTATACCTCTTGCTCGGCATGCTTATTCCCCAAAAGGGGCAAATAACGGTTGAACTTAGCAACAGAGAAAGTTATAATTTAAAAGAAATTAATTTAGACCAGTGGCGAGTTAATAATGTTGCTTACGTTACTCATGATACTTTGGTTGAAGAAGGTTCGACCGGTCAAAAACAATTAACTAATATTAATAATATTTTGGCAACCAAACAAGGGGCAAATATTTTTCTTTTTGATGAAGCCGATAACGCTTTGGATGAGACTAATAAAGAGGATTTCCAAAATAAGTTAAAGGAATTAGTGCGTAAAAGGAAAATAGTGATATATGTCAAACATTAAAGAAACTAGGAAGTTGAATAATCAAAACTTATTAACAATAATCGCGCTTATAGTTCAGTGGATAGAATATTTGATTGCGGTTCAAATGGTCGGAGGTTCGATTCCTCCTAAGCGCACCAGAGAAATTTATAAAATTGCTATATAATACTATGAATGATTTTTATTATAAATCAATGAATTGATATGAACTCTTGGGTTTTGACAATAATGAGGAAAGTAAAAAATGACGACAAGGAGAATAATATTGGTCGACCGAAGAAATCAAAAACAATTACCACAATTGTCTTTCCTTGCTTAATCGCGGTCATCTTTCCGAAATTAATTCTTTCTACAAAAAATACTTAACGAACGGAAAACTGGAAAATTTAAGCGAGTTACGGGAGAAAATTCAACTGGCTTATGAAACTTTAATAAATCCCAACCAAAGAAAAGAATATGATTTAGAAGTCCGTGGCATATTTCATTATAATTACCCGAAAACGAAATTGCCGAAGAAAAATTCCGAGTTAAAGCGATGGCTGACCTTGAATGTTTTCTCCAAGACGAATGGGACGAGAAATTAAACCACTCTTACTGAAAAAATCACTTGTCGGATTATTGACAAAACTGACGGGAAATAATGAAAGAACTAAAATATAAAGAAGAAATTAAATTTTTTCTAAGTCGGTTTTATAAACTTCGCCTGTTTATTCTCCAACGCACTGGCTGAGGAAAACCAGAAAACTCAAATGTAAATGCCTTGGAACTAATTAAGCAAGAACAAAAAAGACTACAAAACATAAAGGAATTGGCAAAAAATAAAATGAGTGAAGCAGATATCGAATGAGTTACCGAAAATGTCAAAAAAGTTCTCAATGGTGAAACTGATAAAAATTTAACTTTTCCTCATGATAATCCACCACAAACTAATTCTATCCCAGACAAGCAAAATAGTAATTTTCCCTTAGCAATAACAATAATTATTACTGCTGTTATTATGGTAGGTTTAGTTGGTTTTTTGGCTTAAAAAAGACAAAAACTAAATAATGAATAATAATTTAAAAATTTTTGCCCTGGGTGGCTTACACGAAGTGGGAAAAAACTGCTATGTTTTGGAAAAAAATAACGACCTAATTATTGTTGATTGTGGGATTAAATTTCTCAATGGCAGTAATTTAGCCGACGGCACTATTCCTAATTTCTCCTACTTAGTGGAAAACAGAAAAAAAATAAAGGGTTTATTTATTACCCACGGTCATGAGGACCATATTGGTGGTATTTCTTACTTGTTGCAATTAATTCCTACTATCCCCGTTTATGGTTCCGAGTTTTCTATTTCTCTTTTGAAGCAAAAACTACGCGGAGAAAGCAAAGAAAAAACTACTATTTTTCAGGATGATACAGTAATTAATACCGGCGAGTTTCGCCTAAAATTTTTTCGGGTAACTCATTCTATCCCTGGCTCTTTTGGAATTATAATTGAGGTTGTGCGGGATAACACCCGGATAGTTATTACTGGCGATTTTAAGTTTGATTGAACTGAGATTGGGGAAAAAACTGATTTGTTTAAACTAATGGAATACGGGAAAAAAGGAGTCGATTTGCTGTTAAGTGATTCGACTAATGCCGAAGTGGAAGGCACCACTCCTTCCGAAACAAAAGTAATCAAACGCTTAGAAAACATTATTACGGAAGCAACTGGTCGGGTAATCATTACTTCTTTTGCTTCTAATGTTTACCGCTTAAAAAAGGTTATCGAAATTGCTCAAAAAACCCAGAAAAAGATTGTTCTGCTCGGTTCTTCTTTATTAAAAATGATGAAAGCCATTCAAAAAGCTAGTTTATGGAAAATAGATAGTTCTATTTTTCTAAAAGCGGTAGCGATTAGTAAAACACCGAATAATAAACTAATTATTTTTTGCACTGGTTCCCAAGGTGAAGAAAGAGCCGTTCTTAGTCGACTGGCTCACCAAAATTATCCCGATTGGAAAGTAGCGGCTGGCGACTCAATTATTCTCACTTCTTCCCCGATTATGGATAATAAATCCCAAGTGGAAATAATTAACAACAAGTTATTTACCTTAGGAGCAAAAATATATGAAAATAATAAGGAAGACTTGCTTCACGCCTCCGGTCATGCTTGTCAAGAAGATTTAAAATTAATGTTGAAATTGGTTAATCCCAGTTATTTCATGCCTTTCCATGGTAATTTTCGAATGCTAAAAAAACACGGACATTTAGCCCAAGAATTAGGCCTGCCTAAAGAAAATATCTTAGTTTGCCAAAATGGAGAAGTAGTGGAGGGACAAGATAAGAAGTTTTTTTTGAGTAAGACACAATTGTCAGTTCAACCTAATTACGTTCTCGACGGCAAACTACTTCCTAAGGAAGAAATAAACCACAATTTATCTTTAAGGACCAAAATGTCCCAGGGCGGAGTAATTTTAATTGTGATTTTCTACAATAGAAAAAAAGCCAAAATTACCGAACCACCTTATATTTTTACTTATGGATTTATTAATATGCAGAAAAGCAAAAATTTAACTGATAGTTGGAAGAAAAAAATTAATGACTATATCGAAAATAATAATAGTAAAAAAGATTGAGAAAAAGATATCGAAAATTATATTGAGAAAGATTTATTAGCCAATTGAGAAAAGGAAAAGCCATTAATTAACTTAATAATGGAATACGACAAATAAGAAAGTATCTTTTAGAATATATCTAATTGCTCTTTGACTTTTTTTTCTTGTTTACTCTCGCCTTTTAGTCATTGCCAAATTTTTTTCCGGAAAAGGAAAATCAGTAAAATAATTAATCCGATTATCACCAACAAGATAATCCAAACATTAGACCAGCCCGATTTTTTATTTTCTTCACTTACCGTAATCATGTTTTCAAAAATAATTTCTTTAACTGGATAATATTTGGGCTTGAAATCAATTTGACCGTTACCGAAATGGAGTGGCGAAGTGTTAGTATCATTTTTTTTGTAAAAATCTATCTCGATAATTCCTCCTTTATTCTCCTGGGTAGTTATCGTAAATTGTATATCAGTTCCTTCGATATCATTTTTTATTCCATTACCAATTTTATCGGAAAACTTGTCTTTAAATAAATTTCAATGGGCTTCTTTGATTGCTTTGTCAAATTCACCTCTTTGGTTAGGTTTTATTGTCACTGTTTGACCATCGTTATCTAGGTTTCAACTACTTGACCTTTTTAAGCAATATTCAATCCTATCTTCTTCCACTTCACCAAAATCGCTGACCGTTCACTGGAATTTCATAGTAATTACCACTTTTCCATCAGTGGGAATGTACCTATGTTCTTGGACTTCATTATTATTTTTGTCAAAGATTTTTATTTCTAAATTGGGCTTAATTTCACCTTTAAGGATAGTTTTGTTGTCAGCCAAGTCTGTTTCCTTAAAAGTAAGTCATTTAATTTTTTTCATATAAACTATTATTTTTTCTTTTTTTGAAAATAAAAACTTTTTCGATATTTCTTTAATACGAACGAAGTGGCTTTTTTGAAAATAAGAAAAGTGTTTTCTTTATTATTTTTATCTGTGATTTTTACTTTAATCATTAATTAAATATTATACTGGCGGTTCTGACGAGAATCGAACTCGCTGTCTCCTCCGTGACAGGGAGGCGTGTTAACCAATACACTACAGAACCAACCCAATTTGGTACCCAAAGCCGGACTCGAACCGGCACAGATAAAATCCGTGGGATCTTAAGTCCCATGCGTCTACCGTTCCGCCATTTGGGCAGGAGCTTTACTTGGCAGAGGCGACAGGACTTGAACCCATATTCTCGGATCTGAAGGCCGATGTTCTAACCAATTGAACTACGCCTCCCTGCTTTCAAGGTCAATTGGTAAGGAAAAATCCTTTTTTTGGTGACCCGTGCGGGACTCAAACCCGCGTTCTTCTCCGTGAAAGGGAGACGTGTTAATCACTGCACTAACGGGCCTTACTCGCTATTCAAAAACTCTTTTAGTTGTTGAATACTCATATTTCCGGCACCTTTTTTAATCTTTTTGCCTTGCTTAAAAAGAACCAGAGTTGGCACAGAAGAAACTTGGAACTCTGATGCCAAATAAGGAAACTTTTCGGCATCGACTTCGAGAATTACCAAGTCATTTCTTTCGCTTAGTAATTTTTGTAGTGTTTTTTGCAATTGTTGGCACGGACCGCACCAAACGGTAAAGAATTTAACTAGTACTATTTTGTTTTGATTACTTCGGAGGAAAGAGGGAAATTCTTCCTCCTTTTGTAAACTTGCTGACATACGAAGTAGCAATTACTTCCAATTTTTATTATAATTCTTCTTCTTCGTTATCTTTTTTGCTTCGAGAAACAAAAAATCAGATTAGAACTCCAAATAAAAGAAGAAGACCAACTATCATTCCATAAAATCTAAAACCTCATCTACCAATACCTATTTTTGCTTCACCTTTAATTTTATGACTAGCATCTAATTCAGTAAATTTTATACCGTCCGAAAAAAATCCTTTGTCTAATTTTCCTTTCAATTTTGTGATAGAGTCAATTTTTTTACCTTCACTATCTTTTACTTCTACGTTTACATCACCGTCCGTGTCAGCATTATCTTTATCTTCTTTAAATGTTATGTCTTGACCACCTTTTACTATAACGGTATATTTTTTTTTATCGTTGTCGTCATAGGTAACTTGTCCCGTTTTGTCTTTTTTTACTTTAATTGTTTTTTTATCGTTCATATATATATTTAGTTTTAATTAGTTATTTATAATTTATTCTTATTACTTATGGAGCGAATAACGGGAATCGAACCCGTGTGATTAGCTTGGAAGGCTAAAGTTCTACCATTGAACTATATTCGCAAAACCGACCGGAGTCGGTAAAACCATTTGTTTCTTCCGTGCTAATGTTATCTCTTTTTTTTCTCAAAAAATCCCTTGTTGACTTTCAAACTAAGACGGTCTTTTAATTTAGTCGCTTTGATTATTTCTTCTTTTCTTTTCTTACAACCATTACAAACTTTTGTTTCGGTTACCAACTTTCTTCAAACGGGCGAACTGCTAAAAACTTTAATACCTTCGCCTTTATTTTTTTGCCGATAACTTTCGATTGGACTTTCGTGCTTAACACAATATTTACTAATGTTAGGCGTAGTTTTTTGTCTTTGTAAGGTAAAATAGTTTTTAAAACTAATGCTTTCACCTTTATTCAAATTTTTCTGGACAACTTCTAAAAAATTAACAATCGCTTCTTTTACTTCTGCTTCTTTGAGATCAGTCTTTTCTCTTATTTGTTTTACTATTTCGTTTATTCCTACTATCATATGTTTGATATATTTATTTTTATTATTGTTGTCGTTCTGGTGGTTTAGGGCAGGATCGAACTGCCGACCTTCTGATCTTCAGTCAGACGCTCTAACCAACTGAGCTACCAAACCTTTTCTTTGCAAGACCTAACAATTATCACTCGAGACTGGTTATTATAATCAGAGAATATCTCTACTTGGGAGTAAGGAAATCAATCTATTATTAATTTTAGCAAATTTTTTTTCAATTGAGGACTGATTTCCATAGTTAAAAGGAATTTCGGTGAAAGAAAATTAGCCGCAGTTTGGCAAATTTGGCGATAAAAAATAGTGCCGTTTTCTTCGGCCAATAAAGCTTCGAGCGGTTGTTTTTTTACTAAAAGGGAAAGTTTTTCATATTCGGGTTGGCTAATATAGGGCGGGTTAGAAATAATTATATCAAACTTCCGGTCGGGATTTAATTTAGTAAATAAATCGCTAGTCAGAAATTTAATATTGTGTAACTGGTGGTATTTAGCGTTATTTTTGGCTACTTGGCAAGCTTTTTTGTTAATATCGATAGCTATAATTTTTCAGTGCGGTTTACTTTTAGCGAGAGAAAGAGCAATATTGCCACAACCCGTCCCAATATCCAGCACTCGTAATTTTTGTTTGGAAGGCCAATACTCACCACTAATTTCTAAGGCTTTTTCAATTAATATTTCGGTATCTCGCTGAGGAATAAAGACGCCTTCTTGGATTTGGAAAGATAGTTGATAAAAATTAACTTCTTGGGTTAAATAAGGAACTGGATAGTTTTCGTGGAGATATTTATAGAGATTACGGCAAATTTGGCGATAATGAGAAAGCGAAAGGGCTTGGTTAGTGAAATTCATTCAAAATTTTTCGGAACTGGTTCCGCACAGGGTAATTATCTCGTTTTTTCTTTCTTCAATATTACTATCTTTGGTGAGAGAAAGGGCATAATTTCAACAGTTTTGATAAGAATATTTTTTCCTTCTCGGTTGGTTCTTTTTCTGGGCTAGCATTAGGGAATTGTCGACAAACAGGGTTCAGTTAGATAAGATTTTAATAAAGATTTAGAACTAATTTTAGCAAAAAAAAAAAAAAAAAAACATTATAACAATAATATATAGGGTTGATTAAGAGAAAAAAAACTATAATAAAAAATTTAAATATATTTAATAAACATCAAAAAATAAAAATATGGTAAACAAAAAAATAATTACGTGAATCGAAACAACAGAAAGCGAATTTAGAGATAATGCGGATGGCAGTATTACTTTTTC